TTAAGGATTTAAATTTTTTTGCTAAGGCTTTGAGTTTATTTTGATTTTTAAGGTTTTTGCTCATTCTGGTTGTGGTTCTAAGTTAGGGTCCATCAGCATGTTAAAGTCTCCTCCTAAGATCACTGGACCCTTTCTAAAAGCCTATAATAAGTCAAGTGTTTGAGATAGAAATTCATATTGTTGAAAGTTTGGCGCATATAATGTCGCCAAAGTTATAGGTTTTTCCTGGAGATGACCCTTAATAAAAACGTATCTGCCCATCTTATCCACCTCAGTATCAGTTATGGTGAAGTTTGTGTCTTTTGCAATAAGAATTGCAGTCCCTCTCGCTTTTGAGGAACCATGTGATAGCGTTTGGGAGGAATACCATGTAGAAGGTAAAGCGATTTGGCCTTTTTTTATATAGGTCTCCTGGAGGAAGACCACATTTGCTCTTGCTCTCTTTAAATCATTGGTGATTCGCTTCGTCTTAATTTTATTATTTATTCCTCGACAATTTAGCGATATTATCTTCAATTCAGCCATTTTTATATAGTGAAAAGAAGATAACATGTACCACTTGCCTGAAACAATAAGTAACGCAGGAAGCCCTATTTGCTTCATTATTAAAATTACCCTCTGTAATAAAATTATCAGTCATCCTTTTAATGTAAAAAAATGTAGATAAGAACATCCATAGAAGCATCAACATATATAGACTTAAAATAGTTAACAACAACCCTTTGCATTTGCAATAACCATTGAGATTTATTATGAACTCAAATAGAGATATATGTTTAAGGCACAGTAAACTCACTACTTTGGAACCAGTTAAATTTAAACTAATACAATAATTTTTAACTTTAGAACTTTCCCCCCTCCCCCTCCCCTTCCCTGTTAAAGTTAGACCTTCAATAAACGTTATAACTATTGTAAACTGAGAACTCAAAAAAGGAAAAAATCGGTTCTCTGCAGTGTGAGAAATTCTCACACAGAGCCCTAATGGTTCTTCCCCTGGAACCGCCATCATATAAAACCAGAATATAACAAAATATAACCACTCCATCCTGGAGGTTCTTCTGAATACCTCAATAACTCCCCTCCCTTTCCCTTTGCCTTTTTTCTAAAATTAACAAACTAGAAACCCTAATCTTCAATCAGTATACTATACAGCAGGGTATGAACAAGTGAAATAATCACCTAAAGAAAGCATTATTCAGAGTTCAATACGTCTGCGGGGTGGAATTCGGCTCCATTTACTTGGAGTCCCTCGTTCTTCGCGTTTTCTTTTCTTTTGTTGTGCTGGGTCAAGTTCCATGTCTTGTGTTGTTTGGAGACCTAATTCTTGTAACAAGGCAATTCCGGATTCAAAATCATCGGCTTGGTATGTAGAGCCTTTATAACGGACTTGCAAATATCCAGTAGTGGCCCATTTATACTTGATTTGAGCTTCTTGAAGCTTCTTGGTAACGGCTTTTAGGTTCCTCCTTATTTGCAGCGCTTCGGGAGGAATGTCCGGAAATGCTTGAATGTCGGCATTGTTAAATTTAAAATGTCCTTTCGCTTTAGCTTCTTGTAGAATCTTATTTTTGATAGATAAGTCCATGAATTCGGCCACAATATCTCGTGGTCCTTTCCTTTTTTCTGCATTTTTCGAACCTAGCCTGTAAGCTCTGAGCAATAGAGGAGCCATATCATCTTCAAAGGAAATCACCGTAGTTAGCCAGGTAGAAAGGAAAGTCACAATGTCGTCTGTTCCTTCAGCTGACTCAGGGAAACCTCTAAATTTCAAAAAACGCTCTTTTGAGCGATGCTCCAGCATAAGTATACGTTCTTTTGCCCAAGATTCGTTTTCCTGTAGGCTTTGTATATCATTCTGGTTGGCTATCGCCGTTTCTAATGCAGTTTCTGCCGTAGTTGCCATGTTTTGCGTCGCAATAGAGAGAGCTTCCAGCTTGTCAGCAAGGGGTTTTATTATCTCGTTAATGTTGACTTTTATATTTTCTAGGATCTCCTGTTTGAATGCCCCCAGGGTATCCTTTAAGTCTTCTTTTGTTAAGGAATCTCCTGTCCCGGAGACAGTTTTCTCTCCGTCCGCCATTTTGTTTGGCGCTAGATTTTTTGCCACGGAGATTGCTTTCTTTTTATAGGGGCCAAAAAAAGCGTTCGACTTTACCGTTTTTAAGTTCTTTTCGTTGAGTCTTCTTGTCGCTGCTTTTGCCCATATTCCGGAGGCTGTAAAATGCGATGGGGTTTCTGCTTATTTTGGGGAAATTGGGAGAGTGGCACGGAGAGTATTCAGAGTGTGTCCGCCATGCTCGACCGACGCTCCGCCATGATATCTTCTCTGGTGTGGACTGACAGCATTTTTTTGTTCCAGATTTTAAAAAGGGTAACAGAAAGCCATGGCTCCAAATGAGAAAAGAGTAAGTTACATACCTTGTTACTATAGTGTCCAATTTGCCCTATTTGGGCAAATTGATTGAGAGGGCGGTGGCGACACAGCTGCAGGGTTTCCTAGATGACACTTCCACCCTCGACCCATTCCAGTCTGGCTTTCGTCCTGGGCATGGAACTGAGACTGTACTGGTTGCCCTTACTGATGACCTCTGCAGACATCTGGATCGGGGCGGCGTGACGGCACTGTTGTTACTCGACCTGTCGGCCGCATTCGATACAGTCGACCATCAGTTGCTTGCCCGCCGCCTTGC